AGAAAGCCTCATCTTTCTCCCGCGGAGCGGCTGGTAGTTTCGAACCGCTGGCCTTAAGGTTCGCAGCCCGATTCGTAACCACTACGCTACCACAGATAGCGTACTAGCACAGATCAAATGAATCTAAGATGAAAAAAATCAGAAAAGTTGTTAGCTCAGATTGAGGAGGAATTATTTGGTAAGAAACACAAAACAACTTTTTAGGACATAAAAAGATTGTGTACCATGATACGGGTGTGGGTACATCAATCTGCCAAATTGTACAGTTAAGTTTTATGTATTTTAAGTTATGCAAATTTTACCTTAAAACTATTTAAAATAACTGGAGTGGGATGGGGACTAATAGGTGGAGGCATATGAGCACATGAAATAAGAATGAGAGGATGTGGCTGACTGATGAAGCTCAGTGACATTTACATGATATTTCATTAAACTATTGTGTTTACTTTGTCTCTATTTGGTTTGTACATTGCAATCAAAAACTGAAACTTCACAAACTGTATTTCATCACAAATGGAACTACTGACACAGGTTAATATGTTAATATTCTCATTACCAGTTCACATCCCTATGGGATACCAGGGCACTGTAGGCAACGATGACAATGTCCTTGGACTTGCAGAACTCCATCAGTTTGCTCTGATTTAAGTAAGGGTGACATTCCACCTGTAAGGTGCCCAAACCAAAAAGCATCAGAATACATGGACAAATATCCTACATGAATTTAAAAAGTGTTTTAAAGAACTTGTATTACAACATTAATATATGTACTATAGTTTTCACTTTTGTAAAATTTTCTCCTTAGAAACCATCAAAGACCAGCAGCTGTCAAATCGGTCAATCTTTTTAAAATACAGCTGACCTTTAAACGACATGGATTTGAACTACGAGACACATTTGTACCCCATTTTTTCCCCTGTTGTTTTAAAGGTGAACTCAAGTGTTGTGAGCATTTACTTAAACCCCTGTGGATGATAATCATCTCTGTGTGATATCTCTCTCCAGTTAGGGAGTCGCATGGGTGAGGGACTAGCTCTTAACCGAAGAGCAACACTTGAGCTCACAGAAATAGCGACAGGAAAAAATAATCTAGGTATAAATGCTCCCAAGTAATTAAAACTTGCATTGTTTCAAGGGTCACCTGTAGTGTTTAAAAATGATTAAAGGCTCTCAGACAAACATTGTGGTCTCTAAATACAATTTCACACTAACAGAAACCAAGTCTTAGAGAAATGACTTAGACAAGGGGAGCTATAAGGTGACTTGAGAATATCTTGTGCTCTAGAACTAAAGAAAATGAGGACGTGTCAAAGGATCAATTTTAAGAAGACTCCTGTTGGCCAAAATGGTGGCAGTTTGAGCATCAGAAAGAATAGTAACAACCTGCGATGTGCAGATGACACACCCTTGCTTGCTGAAAACAAAGAGGACTTAAAATTCTTACTGATGAAGATCAAAGAACACAGCCTTCAGTATGGGTTGCACCTCCATGTAAAGAAAACAAAAATCCTCACACTGGACAAATAAATAACATGATATATGAAGAGAAGATTGAAATTGTCAAAGACTTCATTTTGCTTAGATCCATTCACCATTAACACTCACGGACGCAGCAGTCAAAAATTCAAACCATGTATTGCATTAGGCAAATCTGCTACACAAGACCTCATTAAAGTGTTCAAGAGCAAAGATGTCAATTTGAGAACTAAAATGTGCCTGTGTATTTTCAACAGCCTTTTCTGCATGTGAAAATTTGACGTTGAATAAGAAAGACTGTGGAAGAATTGATGCGTTTGAGTTAGGGTGTTGGAGAAGAATTTAATAGGTACCATGAGATGCCAGAAAAGCTAACATCTATGTTAGAGGAAGTAAAACCAGAATGCATCTTAGAAGTCTCTCATACTTGGGACATATTATCAGGAGGGGCAGTCCCTGGAGAAGGACATCATGCTTGGTTTAGTGAAGGGTCAGAAAAAAAAGAGGGAGACCCTCAATGATATGGCAGCAGCAGTGGGCTCAAACATAGCAGCAATTGTGAGGATGGTGGAGGACTGGGCAGTGTTTTATTCTGTTGTACATTAAGATGCTATTGGTCAGAAACGACTCAACACCACCTAAAAACAACAACAAAACAAGGCCAGGGACAGACTGTGGAACGGACCATCAATTGCTCATATGCAAGTTCAGACTGAAGCTGAAAAAAATTTAAACAAATCCACAAGAGTCAAAATATGACCTTAAGTATATCCCACCTGAATTTAGAGACCATCTCTGAAACAGGTTTGATGCATTAGACACAAATGACTGAAGACCAGAAGAGTTGTGGAAAGCAAAAGACCATTAAAAAGACAGGAAAGAAGGAAAAGACCAAAGAGACTCTGAAACTTATCTTGAACATAAAGATGCTAAAGTGACTGGAAGAAAAGAGGAAATAAAAGAGCGAAACAGAAAATTTCACAGGACAGCTTGAGAAGACAAAGTCAAATATTATAATGAAATGTGCAAAGACCTGGAGTTAGAAAACCAAAAGGGAAGAACATGCTCAGCATTCCTCGAACTGAAAGAACTGTAGAAAAAAAATTCAAGCCTTGACTTGCAACACTGAAAATTCTATGGGAAAAATACTAAATGATGCAGGAATCATCAAAAGAAGATGGAAGGAATATACAGTCACTGTACTAAAAAGAATTGGTTGATATTCAACCATTTCAAGAGGTAGTATATGATCAAAAACAACAGGTATTGAGGTTGCCATCCAGCGCACTAAGCGCCCACCCCTGCCCTCCCTCTGCTGCAGGGGAGTGCCTGGACAAAGTGTTGTAGCCTCGACCCTGAAGACATTGCTATTCTTCACAGCCTTGATGATCACGGTTGCATTTGGGTTATATTTCATGAGTAAGTTGTACATACATAAAGGCACCTTTGGGCATGTCCAGTTGGGACAACTATTTCTATGTTGCCACTGTGGCAGTGGTTGCCGACCACATGGTGTTGACTCTGTAGCATGGAACGAAGGTTCACTCCACTGGTGTGAAGGCAAACAGGATTAAAGAGGACACCACCTTTGGATAGCACGCAGTTGGTTTTTTTAAAATGCAAATGCCCTTGGGTTGAAAGAAAGTGTCATGTTTGATTATTGTCAATGTTGGTCCTTCTCATACTATGGTTTGTAGAATCAACCATAACTATATGAGACTCTCATTTGCTGATGAGAATTTGGAAAAATTAAATTAACTCTTCCACCATTCTGGGAAGAGCTGTATTCTCTTATAACAAAATGTGTTTTACAGTATTTTGTCTTAGAGATGGTTTTGTCTGGTACTCCTCTGGCTGTGATAAGATTGACACAGAAGTAAATTGAAGATTTGTTTTACACTGTGACACATTTGTAACTCCTGAGGAATCATGAGATTTTTTTGAGTCAATTTTCTGTACAAAGTTGTTTAAACTTGAATGAATCCAAGTATCACTGAAGAATTGTGCATGAAGTAAAAATCCCTAGTCTGTGGGATTCTTTTTTTTTTTTTTTTTTTACATTATTTTCTAGAAAAACTAGGTGACAGCAGCCAAGTAATGATAAAAGGACTTTGAAAGAGAGTCAAGCAGGTCACAGATCTGTGTGATTAGGTAATCCTTGAGATCCTTATAGTTTTCCCAGTCATTCAGTACTACCTGTGTGCAATCTAAAAACAAGCCCATCAAAATGTTTGCTTTCTGTCTTATTCTCTGTTTACTGTAGACAGTTTGAAAAAATGCATGTTAAAATGTGAAAAAAGAGAGAATTTGCCACTATTTTGCTACGTGGAACTAACAACTGTTTGCATCTGTCTCCTGAGTGCAGGTTTGAGAACCATTTGTTACTGCTGGTTCAGTATGCACTCAAAGTTTGCTTTAAGTTCAGATTCATCCACCTGTTCCCTGGCAGTCACTTGCAGTGGGTCAGATGCAAATTACTTAGCCTATTTTCTCATAAAGCACATTCTGCTTTTCATCCTGTAAGGAGGCATCTCATTACTCAAACTTAATGTCATTGATAACCCTAACACAGTGGACCACCCTTATGTGGTGTTTGCCACTGCCATGTATTTTTTCACCCTTATAATACTATAATCTATTGTGGAACTGGACTAAAGAAATAGAGAAATGCCTTGGCATAAAAGTCAAGTAGGTATTTGTGTTTATTTAATTGCTGGAGAAAAGTGGAATATGACTGTGGTAGGGATTAAAAAAATTTTTTTTACCTATAGTTACATATTGTCTACAGTTTAAATATCTTCCATGAGCAGTGAATCTAAATATAGTGTTGTTTTATTTTTAAAGAAAAGCATATAGTATTTGAATAGTATCGATAATAACTAAACATTTATATGTCAAATACCAGTTTAAGTACTTTACATGTATAAAGTCAACGTTTTGATTCCATTATGTAAAACTAGCAATGGAGAAAGATCTAATATTTTCTATCACTGTATAATCGTATTCCACATTCCTTTATCCTTAAAAGAGATTCTGTTTACTAAATGGGTGAAGGAGTATAAAGCCTCAGGAAAGATAAGCAGGGAATGAAGTCAGAGGTGGATCAAGTAACAGGAACATTGTTGCCTATCATTATAAAATGTTTATCAGTTTCCTACCAAAATTATCATGCATGGAAAGAGACAAGAGTGAGCTTTACTAAATCATGGAAAATGAGAGGCTGACCATAATCTTGTAGTTACAACATTATGCCAGGTGAAGTATGAAGTACCTTGCCAATGAGGTATAACATTATTTAATAGACGAAAGACTTTAAAATCCTACAGAACTTGACCAACCAGCCAGACGAGTTATTTCTTTGTTGTGGCTTATGCCACAAAAGGTCATCATAAATGAAAAAATACTAAAACAGAGAACAATGAGTTGATTCTTGGTAGACTGCCTATGCTGCTTCTTGTCCATCCATAAAAGAGGGAGAAGGACATTCAGTACTTTGAGGTTTTGTTCCAGATGCCTCTTCACAGCATACATTACACATTCCTTTGTACCAGAAGAGAAAAATCCTCAAGAGTCCACCACATTAGGGTGTTGTTAAATGAGCTTTTGGTCTTCTGTAAGAAGTATATCTTTGGATTTAAACCACAGAAAAATAACAGTCAATGACTTATTTCCATGGTGTAACCATTTAAAAATCACCTACAAATTGCAAATTGACATGACACATTGATAGAATCATAAATAATTTTTCACCACTCCTATGTATTTGTGGAATCCTGGTGTGGCGCTGTGGGCTAATGGGTCAGAATGCAAAGTCATTTGAACTGCAAGGTCGGTGCTTCAAGCTCATCAGCTGCTCCATGGAAACCCTGTACAGGGTCGCTATAGGTCAGAATCAACTCAATGGCACTTAACAACAACAGCAATGTACTTGTAGTTGATTTCAAATGTTTGATAAAAGTGATTTTTATGACTTGAAGTATTCTGTGACATCAAAACTTATACTGGGCGGAAAAAGATGGCGGATCAGGTGGAAGTGTAGTGATGAGCTCTGCCAGGAACAACACAGAATACAGGACCAAGAAGTCTCAGGGAATGGTCCCAGTACTCTGAACCACATATAAAGGAATATTTAGAAGGTTGGAAGACTTACAGCTGGGGAGTTTGTGGCAGAAGCAAGAAATCCATTGCTT